TCACACTGCCAGCAGTGCCACAGTCTGACAATGTGCATGACTAACTCACTTTCACCATGTTTACCACAGCTGGGAAGAAGATGAGGGGTACAATGTACAAGAAATTTCAACACAATGCAAATCTGGCAAGGTGCASTTTCAGATTTTGATTTCTGAGGAAGTGGAATTTCTTTCTGGTTGCATTATACCGTGGTTATCTGAGGCTCTACTTTTTTAGACCCTGCCAATTTATTTCTTGTTTTCATAATTGACTCATATAATTATCTAAATATAAATTTCCCTGTAACAGGTCTGCATTCAGCCTTTAAAATGAATCCACTCTTTAGTTCCGAAAGCGTTAGTTCCTTCCTGAGTCATGTTTGATTTTTTTCCTGTACTGACTGGCTTCTGAACACAGTGCCTGATGGTAAGCTTTGTCAAGAGATGCTGAGATATRAAGAACAACAGGTTACCTCATAATCTCTTCTTGTTAATGCTTGTTCTGGAGAGCACCTGCTGTCTTTAAAAGGGATTTGAGTGACCCAAGATTAAGAAGTCTCCCTACAACAATTACAGTTCTTATCACTGAAGAATACTCATACCAATGTGACATCTTCCTGATGGTTTCAAATTCACAGACTGAGGGAGAGATAAGAGTCAAAGAACCATGCAGAGTGCAATTATAAGAAGACATCAAACCAGCCCAGTACAATTCCATTTTGGAGAAGAGTAGCACTATTAGACTAATTGCTTTCTGCCTGAAAAGTAAGTATTAGGAAAAAAACACCATCTGATTTCTTTTAAAGAAATTCCAAAATGTAGTGGTGCCCAGAATATTSCTAATCCTCTTTCTAGATCACCCTTATTGGGCAAATAGCATAAGGGGCACAGGGACACTTAAATGGATCACACAACCTCACATCAGCAGTGATTCAAAGAAGACATTAAATCTTGAGAGTACCATGGACTATTGTTTGCTACCTCTTTGATGTAAAAGATACAAAAGTATAGACTTCTGCTCTTATGAAGTCAAGTTTGTGATACAAGTAAAGGATTTGCTGCCACAATACCCATCACAGTTTGTCCCTTACTACTCAAAACATTTTTCTAAGCCTGTTTAACCACTGAGTTCCTATCACCATCACTTGTATTGAGAGTATTTGTTCAAAGCTGGTTCTTTGAAAYATTATCCAAAGTCATCAATACCTTGAAAAGATGAAATTATCAAGAAAATTATACCCAAGAATCCACCCATCTTTGCTTCTTTCCAACAGTCTAGGAACAAAAAAAAAGGACATTAACTATAATTTTGTTTGTTCTCCTGTTCCTCCCTCAACTCAGGATCTCAAAGAAGATGTCTTTAAGAAACAGAAAAAATAATCAAACCTATATATCAAATAATAGACTTTCATACCAACTGAGAAAGTGAACTTGTTGGGAACCCTCCTTTCTCCAATCTGAGGGCATGTTGAGGTCTCCAGATCAGTCTTGTATGTTAGGGCAGTAATGTTTACACCATCTAATCTGTTTACATGTTATATGAAGYGAAATGGAATTGACTCAATTTTATTTCCAAGTAAAGCAAAAACAACTAGCGAAACTCACAGACTGGTTAGAAACAGAAAATAATTATTTCAAATCAGATGCAAATGAGAGGTTTGCCAGAAGAAATAAGTAACACAAGGCAACAGTGATAAAGGGTAATTGAAGATTGGCATCACAGATGCTACATGATGGGAAGCCAAGTTGGCAGTCTGGTACAGCTGAAGAAAGTTTTGGCTGTCCCAACTCGAGACAGCAAAATTATCTGACATGGATTTAGTTTTGCTTGGCTCTGTTTAGGATACCTCCAATGGAAGATAAAACAGTTCACTGTTTATTAGATCTCTATTCAAAAATTCATTAGAATATTTTCCATTTTGTGCTAATAATGAAACTTTAAGGATAACTTCAATATAATTTCAGAGTACATTATGCACAGCTGTCTCCTTGACTGTAGAACACCTGAAATCCATTGTTTCTATCCATAGTGGTAAGGGAAACAGCACAAACAGCAACCAAATTAATTAGCAAGCTGCAGCATGCTGCCAAAAGYAGGGATGGCTAAACATTAACTTTATTGGGGTCTATGCATCTACCATGTCAATGAATATTATATTTCCAGAACTGCAGAAATTGTGTCAGCTACCTTGAAATCCCCAGTAATATATGGGGATCTGATAAAACAGACACAAGAAGGCAGACTTCTGTTTGTCTGGGTTGGACACAGAAATGCAGACCCTTCCAGAGATCCACAGATCAGTTATTATACAACAAACCCCACTGCTCCCTCACAGCTTGCTCAGCTGTTGTGCCACTGTGTAGTTAAGAAGCCTTTAATCTTCAGKCTGACACAGGCGCAATGAGTCTACAGACTAAAATTTCATACACAATTTGGCTGAAAGCTAATTACTGCCTGTTACTCAGGCTGCTTTCCTCCGAGTAGAAGAGTGTGGTGACAAAATCAAACACACTGCTTTTACTGCCTCATGCTTCATGSTATGAACAGCAATTGTGAAAACATTAGTATAAAAATAAAGCTACTTTTATGTTTCAAGAGTATAAAATATTGTCACATAGTCATAAAATGCTGCTGGTCAAGATGTATCCCTCAAGATACATGCTTAATTTAATCCAGATTAAAMTTCTGTTCTGCAGGCTCCAACTGAGGACAGATTTTTACAATTGTTTCCACTGAAATGTGCATTTTCATATATAAGCAACAGTCCTTAAAATGAGGCTTTGTGATACTGAAAATGAGTCCACTAAAGGCAATTAGCACACAAAGCTTTATACCCTTGTGTGTAACTTTTGAACTCCATTGGGATTGTTGAGATTGTGTAAAGTGAGCAAYATGAATCAACCTTTGCAGGACTAGGGACTTTCGTGTAACATCACTAACACCAACACAAAATACTATTAAAAATTCAAACAAGCATAAAAAATTATTCTAAGTGGAAACTGTTGTTCATTAGGTATAATAGATCAAAGAGAATGAAACAAATATGGCAAGGGAACTAGAAAAAAGAGCAATAAAATTAAAGCATGTGAACATGTATATAGCATAGTTTACCAAAGGCAAAAAAAAAATATAAATAAGTAGGGAGAGAATGTGTTTCAAAAYTCAATAATCATGAAGAAATTAGGAATTAATAAGAAAAACCTTCAAAATGTAATATTTGTGATTTGAGCCAGATTCATACATACATTTTTTTAAATGGCAAATCACAGCTTTCAACAACAGAAAGCTTTTTCATAATCAGAGAATGGTATAAGAAATGTTCTTAATGAAACAGTTGCACAGTCTTCTGTCACAATATCCTTTGACAAAAAATTGTGCTTCATAGTGAGAGCCAAGTCAGTTCAGATTCGTATTCTGAATTCCCCCATAGGAATCCATATGTTTCTCTATCTTCTGACTATAGGTAGACCCTGAGCAGTTGGGATCCTGCRAATAAAGTCACCCTTTCCAACTTCTTTCCCGATAACATTTTTCTGGTTAATGTAGCTATTTACTGGACACTGATTTAAGTACTTCCATACATTTATTTATTTCAGTTTGGGAAAGGACGACCATWTTGACACATTATTTCAAGCAAACAGTGGGTTTCAGCATTTCTCAYCATGCATTCATATTCACCACCATTTCTTAGGGGAAAAAAAAAAAAGATAATTTAAACTATAGCTTTTGCAGAAGATTTCATTTATTTCCAAATAATCCATTAACAGTTCTTCCACATTGTACACTTGAAAACTGTTTTGCATCTGTATGTTATTTCCTCCCCAGTTTTGGTACTCACTTTCTGACTAAATCAACCGAACTCAATCCAAACAATTTTCTAAAGGATGCTGGATTATAAAACAAACTCGTTTGTGCATTATAGGAGACTTATCCTATGACAGMCTCCTTGACACATCAGCCTCACCCTTTCCAAACTTAAAAAATATCTTTGAATTCAAATTTGTTACATGAGTTGCATATACTTTTGATATTCAACTTGTAACAATTGTGCTGCCTATCTCACCACAAGTTTTTAGGTAACTTACAAATTTCAGAAAAGTCAGATTCACTAGAAAGCAAGCAGAGAAAATAAGAACATAATCATGCTGCTCTGTAAGTCYATTGTGAGGGTATATCCTTTAAGTTATCTGCAATTCCCACTGCCTTGTCTCAGAAAGAACATAAGTGACAGTATTTCCAGATCAAGAAAACTCTGGAGCTCTCCATTCTGAGCACTATTTCTGAGCCAGGGTCACTTTGGAATAGCTCTGATTTTCAGAGCAGAATGCCAGAGTGCTGGCAGAGATACACTGAGCTACCAGAACCCTTGGTCTGACCCAGCACAGCAGCTCCCTCATGTTTTAGTAATGAAGCTGGACTCCAGAAATGACCAGAAGAAACCTCCTATTCATTTATCACATTGCATCCTCACATGCATTCAGCTTTGTTTTTGAGGCAGTGGCCAGCCACGGCCAGCAGGGCCCCTGGCTATTCTAAATCACACCAGGGCTAAGAATGCTATAAATCAGGCAGGAAGCTTTAATGCCACCTTTGGCCACAACGACCATCAATCCTTTATCCCTATTAGTCACAACTGGAATCCAGCCCAAATGTCTGCAGTCTCAAGCAAGATCCCATCTCTGATGGCCACTTCCCTCAGACTTAAACTAACTCAGTGACAAAACAGCTCTCCTCCCCCACAACCTCCGGAGGGGAGAAAAAACAGGGAGAAATAGGATGTTTTCCATAAAGGAGAATTTATATGCAAAAAAACTGTGCTCCTGCTACAACCGACAGCCTACAGTAGAATATTTTTAGGATACAGATAATTCTGGCTTAGTTCCACAAAATGAACGGTAGAGCTGCCTCAATTTAATTACCACCCCATGAAGRAATCTGACAGCGCAAATGCAGTGCTTAGTAAGCATTTTACCTCAGACAGCTTGGAGACGTATTGTAGAGCTGAAATTACAATACATACCATGACTTGTTCTGTCATTCTACTTTGGAAATGCAGCATGCATGTCTCTATAATGAGCTGTCTGATATTCACCCACTTCACCTGTAGCAAACAGGAGTAAAACGTAAGTAACCATAAGTTGGCATATTAGTTGAATGCAAGCTAAGATATTCATTTTYGGCAGAAGGTTTCAGATTCTTCTAACTAGCTAGACAAGTTTAATACATAATTTACTTATATTTACATTTTGAAAAAAAATTATATTTCTAAATTATTAATTATTACAATCTAAGGGGGGGGGGGGAACAAACCAAAACCAAACAACACATAAACCCTGTTCTCTCCTTCTCCTTCTTATATTTCTGCTTACAAAATTGCTGGAGAATATTTTAGGGAGGTACTTGCTACCCTGTCTAACATATGATAAAATATGCATAATTTAAGAACACATATGTGCTTCCTATTAATAAGATTAACTCTACAACAAAAAGTTTTCTCTGCTACGTTCAAAAGCTAAAGAAAAACAATATATGATTATAAAAATGTAATAAGACATTTTATAAAGCTTACACTAATGCTGTTCTGTCTTAATTTTTAATAAAAGTATTTGTGCCTAAAAGTATATGGTAGTCTGCACTTCTCTGAGTATAATCAAATTMGGTACCTTATTAAAAACCCAAACAAGTGATCCAGCTTGTTTCAAGCAGAAGGATGATTGAAATTTATTTATTCATATGGAGTCTTACAGAGAAAATTGAGAAGCTTTATTTTCTTTTTAATTATGACATTACATCAGAATTGGACTGTGCCACCTTTCCTCTGGCTAAGCAATTTTTAGAGAGTGTGTGGAAAAGCAGTTAAGCCCAGGCTAAATTTTAAAACACCCATCTCAAGGAACTATTTGTATTTATAAGAAGGCCCACTCAAAGCATCAAAAAAAATCAATGAGTTTTCATTGAATTAATCACTGACTTAACACCACTGTGAGTTAAGTGTCATAGACTGAATAATGCTTAATGCCATCTCAGAAGCCAGGACTTGTGGAAAAGAACTGAAATTATTCCTCTGTTTCCCTTTCAGATTCTAAGAAAAAGTCATTGCAATAAACAGTGGTAGAAAAAGCAGTTTCAGTTTATATTGGAAACTTCGGAGTCATACAAGTAAGGCACTCTACAATACCTGTAATACAATCAGTGCTTATGARTTTAGGAAATTATTTGGAAGTTAGTTTAAAATCTAGGATTGAAATAATTTCATAAGAAGCAAAATACCAACAATTTGTGATACAATATGCCCATTTATGCTTAGCCTTCCTTTTTCTGTTTACTGCACCTATGTTTGTTAAAGTCTGCTCTCTTTTCCCTGTGATTGCCTCTGAAYAAGGGATCAGAAACTCAAAAGTAATTGTGCAGGTCATACATCAGAAAAATAATTTTGCATTATATAATTAGCTGTTTCTGAAGACCAACCACTCTCTAAGACAACTAAAGTTAAGGATCTAAAAGGCAAAAGGTCAAGAATCCTAAAATGTTGTACTGGAACAAGACAAGCTAGATAACACAAAAAAATCTGATACATAAAATTTAGAAAATAAGATGATCCAATCCATAGATTTAAAACTTCAAATACACGGTAGAAAATAATTTGCTATATGATTTTTTTTTCAATTTTTTAAAAAATAAGTGGAAACATCAGCAAGATAAAATTCAATCTGTATTTGTCAAATGTTGGCTCCCTTACAAACCCTGTGCACAATTAATTGTATTTGTATTTTACCCATTATTTTGACTATGAATTATTTTTCAAACTTTATTTTCTTTCTCTTACATAATATATTGCTCTTTCAAAAACAGAAAYGTTCAATCAGCTTTCTTCAGGCTGACAGGGTTACAGAAAACAGAAGTACCTCAGGATTTCCAAAGCACTTCCCAGTCACTATTACTTGAAAGCAAGAGTTTTAAMTCTCAAAGAGGCGTGATGTCCAAAAAGAAACAATACTGTGAACAAAGATGAAAAATTGTGGATTACTTTCACAGGCTCTTTTTCTACAATGGAGAAAATATCCACATTCTAGCCAGGCGTCTTTGAAAAGAATATTTTCCTTTTATACAGAGATAAAAAGCAAAGTTTCAGGTCAGAGGCTATAGGGGAAAAGAGCTAATGTCTCCYGTGCTTTGATGTTACAAGCAGTGCCTGGTTACAGAAGTGTATTAGAGCTACCAGTAAACTGAGCCAGCATCTTTAATAACCAGTTTCAATATGGGTGGCATACGGATTGTTCTGCACATAACACAGCAACCAGTYGCATGCATTGACAACAATATGCAGACCCTCATTTTAACATGTTTACATGGCTTTAAAATACACTGAAAGGTAATTTTTGACTTACAGATCTTGTAGGAAGACTTCTTAAAAGCATATCTGCAACAACTACAGACAGCAAACCAGGACTGAGCTCCTCTCTGGGTAACAGGTAACATAGAATGGGGTTTGTACCAGTATGTAATATCTGGAAACAGCAAATTTCAGTCTGTGAGTACTCTACACAACAGTATTTGGTGTCTCATTTGCTTTTGAAACTGAAGGGCTGCAGGTTGCAGGAACCAGCCCAAAACAACACAATCTGGTGCAGTTGTCTTTCACAGATTTCTGGGAGCTCAAGGACCAAATGCACCAATTTATATTGGTCCTAATGCACCAATGCCTCTAATGGACCAATAATTTAATTGGTTAATTTAGCTAATAACTCACCTTTTGGAACAGTATATCACAAAATTCAGAATATGCTACAAGGACATCAATAAATATTGCCTTAAAAATCAACAAAAAATATTAATTAAATTTTTTGGTGTTATTTAGCACTAAGTTGTAAAACAGTAAGAAATACTCTTAGAAAAAAAAACTGATTTTTTTTTTTTACTTACTTTTTTTATACCCATGTAAACTGAAAATTGTAGCAGTACTAATCCTCAAATTAACAAAGATAATGTTTCTTCTCTTAAGTATTTGATATCCTCCAACAGACCACTACACACAATAAAGCATAATTTCTGACGGAGTTTTCTATAATTTGGAAAATTTTGTTTGTTTGGATATTATTAGTGAAATACTAACTGCTGAGTGAGACTACTGATTATGCCAAGATCAAAATTATATTAATATTATTTATAAACCTTGCAGTTTGAGCATTGCTTAGTAGACAGAGATTGTTCACCAAAATCTCTCAATAATCTCAAGTACTCAGAAATCTGAAATCAATGTCCCTACGTTTGAACGACAGGCAGATAAAAACCCTGGTAACTTTTCTTGGACCTACAGGAACTTCTCTAACAGCTCTGGATTTCAGCCAGAAGCGAGCCACTGCAGGAAAGATTACAGGGATTTGTGAAGGACTTTCAGTAGGKAATTTCTGCAGGAAAGACAGAAAGGATTCAACAGAAATGGAAAACCAGGAAAAATACCAGGAATGGGAAAGTGAAAAGGAACGTGAGTTCAGGGGAAACCTAAGAAAAAGGGAATTTAAAAAAGCTAGATTTATAAGGAATGTGGATAAAGAAAGAAAACTGCAGGAAATAAAAAATGGGGAACCTTAAATAGCGAGGAACAAGGGAAATACCAGTTTCACTAAATGTTTCCTGGTTGCAACAAAGAAACAAATCACTCTCCCTACAGGTTCTGGTACCTACCACAAAAAAATCCAGGAGGAATTTTTGAGCCTGATTATTCTTAACAGATTTCCAAATTACATTTTTAGCTTTGTAAGTTTTATTTATAAATATATTTAAGATGAATGATTCACTGGAAATATTGGAGGGCACAACATCCTAAATAACAGCAGCTTTTTCAGATTTGGTTTCCACATAGGAAAAATAAGTTTTAACTGATGAAATTAGCTTCAGAATGCTATGAAATCACCTTGCTCCTCAGCTGAAAGCTACACCTCCAAAAGCACAGGTGTCTGGAGGGAGCTCATCTTCCTGTYCCCCCAGCTGTAAACCCACTATGCCTTCTGGGGTGGTATAAACTCTTCACCCCACAGAYATTAACATGTGYTYTGTGGAAAAGAGGTGCAGCAGAAAAGGCTCACAAGCCCCATTGCAATAMTGTCAGGGGCAGAGAGCTGTGCACTGGCACCCAAACCCACAGCAGCTCCATTCATTTCCTGAGGTGCCTCAGAGCTCTTAACAAGAAAAATAACAAAAAAATCAGAGCTACTTTTTCAGTGGAAGGTATGACACTCAAAGATTACATTTTGTTTCTCTGAAATGATTGSAAATGCTGATGTTGTGATGCACCATGTCCTTTTTTCTGCTTCAACATCTGTTTTGGAAATCTCCAGATCTTCCAGATGTTTACAGGCTGCCTCATTAGTAATGCAATTGTGAAACACTTAAAAACTCTCTGYTCTGATCTGCCAGTTTTTCATCCTGCCTCCACACCAATTTCTGCCTTACTGCTGGTCTCTCCAATGGCAGGTGGGTTCCCCAATCCCTTTCTCTTTCAAGGGAAACTGCTTTGTCTAGATCAGAATAACATTTAGATTAATTTTCTCCCCTTTTGGAGAGCTCCCATTCTAGCTCCCACAGCAGCACCAGAAGGAGCAGGTGAGGGTCTCCAGGTGGGAAGTAAGCAGGGTTATTTTTGTGTGCAACTCRTAGCAATGCAGGTGCAGTCACAGGGATCCCCAGCAGGTTGGTGTGCTTCCTTCCCCAGAACACTTATTTTTTGCCCTTTTTTATTTTTCCACAATGAGTCACTGAGAACAAACACCATCCAGTGCATGTGTTTGCAGAAAACTAAAAACAAGCAAACAAATGAAAAATCTCTATTGCTAACAAGAAATAGTGATGAGAGTTTTCTTTTGAAAGCTATGTGACATAAACAATATACTACTGCCACGTGATAAAAAGGAACAAGGTCTCTAGTGAGAAAGAAACTGTTATTCTTAAAAGACAAAGTCAGGAGATACAAAAGGGCATACATCATTTCCCTCTGAAATTGTATGATAAAATGACAGCAAAAATCAGCTTAGAAGCAACACGTGAACTAGCCTTCTGCGCCTCCTGCTCTCTCCCTTCCAAGACTAAATGGATCTGTGTCTC